TCTCTCTCTGACAAATAAATTTTAAAAATCTTAAAAAATATATATATATAGAATAGTTATATCTTATTGATGAATTGACCCTTTTATCATTATAAAGTGTCCTTTATCTCTATTAACAATTTTTGTCTTAAGTTATACTAAAAATATTTTAAAGAAAGGAATTAAAGTTCTGAATAATAAAGAGAAATATATTACCTGTTGGATTCTTAATTACACAGCTAGTAGCTCCATGAAGATCAGCATGTACATAAATGTCCCCTTAAAAACAGATGAGAAATAATACTTTAAGTCCTGTTTCTTTCTTTCTTTTTAAATGGGCTTAATGGGTTCAAAATCCAAAGGGTATAAGAAGGCATATAAGGAAAAGTCCATTTCCCACCCCTGGGGAGGTTCTCACAAGCTTCCTTATAGGAAAGCAATGCTAATATGGTAGATTACAAAAATGGTCAGATCCTCTCTCCCCTGCGATCTACACCTCTTTGCTCAAGAGGTGGAGTCACATCCCTCGTATCTGGGCCTGCCCTATGACCTGCCCTGGCAGAATGTGGCAGCTGTGACCAAGTGCCAATTCTCAGCCTAGGCCTTAATAGTCCTTGTGTGCTTCCTCTTTTTCTCTCAAACTTGCTGAGTTACCATGTGAACCAATCTAGGCTAACCTGCTGGAGGGTGAGAGACACATGGAGCAGATGACTAATCCTAGCAAATGTAAAGGTCGTGAGGACCATGGATGTTTGACATGTATGAAGAGCAGTCAGAAGGCCAGACTAAGGGAAGAGTAGTAAGAAATGAGGCTGGAGAAGAAGCCAGGAGGCCTGTAAGCCAACAATGAGGGCCTTGATTGTATTCTAAGTATGTGATACCAATGAATAACCAAATGAACAAAGAAATGCGGAAGTGAGATCTTTCCTCTTTTTTTAAGGGAAAAGGGAAGTGCATAGTTCCTGAAAGGTAAAATGAGCAGCCACTGCTTGCCATGACAGTTTGTCCGGGATTTGAAACTCAAAGAACAGAAAAACCCATACTGCTCCAAGAAAGGCTCAGCTCACAATGAACAGAGCTACAGAAGACAAGAGACCAAACCCTGAGCACCATTATAATAACCTGTTCCCTGTTGCTTTCTTTCCTGGCTTGGGATCTTCAGTGGACATCAGATTATCTTTGATTACTGATTTCAGATACCCACACTGAGGGTTCAACCACAGTGAGGTGGTAGTTATCAGCAAACAAAAATAAATGAGAAGCCTTACACCACAGGGCTTAAGTCCTGTTTCTAAATGTGAAAAAAAGTTACAACCTTCAGCACTAAAAAATTAAGCCTTTAAAATTCTGACGTACAATGACTTTGGAGGACTGAAAGCTATTTTGTCAATGTAGCAGAGAATCAAAATTCCAATACTACAGAGTAGCTCAGTACTACTACTTTAGGACTATTCACTTAAAATGAGAAATAAGCGTCAAAGCACATATTCAACAAACCATAAGCCACCAAGATGAAACTCTTCCTACCAATTAAACGTGTCAAGCAAAGGACTGTAAGATGAAAATCTATATCTCATACTGAGATAACTGATCCAATTACTTAGGATTTTAATCTTTAAATTTTAATCTTAAAATTTTAATCTTACTTACCTGTTGTCAAGTATCTTTTCACAATTATTTCATTCTGTTGCTGATCTCGTCCACCTATAATTAGATAGTTCTCTGAGCTAATGAACCACAGAAATTTCTCAAACCTATCAAATTGAAAGAAAAAAAGTTAACATTCTTTTCCTTTATAGTCACCTGAATTCACATCCTTTTTGCAAACAAACCAACCAAAAAAACCCATGAAGCTATCCTACCTTCATATGTTAAGGCAAATTGATGGTTTAATTTCTTAAAGCATCAAACTGAATTTTATTGAAATCTTGTAATGCAAATTGCCTTAGGATATTCTTTAGAAGAGAATAATTAAATTCTACGTTTAAAAAAAGTATGTTCTCTCCTTATCTCACTCTCATACAGAGCCTTCTTAAACTCAAGGTTAACACAACAATGAATTACACAAAGCAAAAGCGTAAAACGTCACATGGTCCCTCTGTGGGGCACTGGCTAGGTTTTGGGGCTACTGGTAAGAAAGAAAAGTTTTCCCATTCTGTCTTCAACTGAATGTTTACATATATGATATTCTTTATACTTTTTTTATAAAGCAAAAATTACCTTTAGATGTATAAAATTATAACTTTTCTCAAGGGACAAAATAATTTGGGTTTTCATGATTAATACGTACCATCATGATAAAAAGTAAAGAGTGTATTTGTATGACATTTAGAAAATGACATAGAGATGAATAGAAGTATTTCCTATATTACTCCTGACTACCAAGATGATAATCTTTATGACTTAATCTACAATTTAAAACCTTCTGGTTAAAAATGATAGATTAAGCACAGGCATTAAACTAAACTCCTTTATATCTCCCAAAATTATCCCTGTTTTCTAATCTGATTTTTTATTAATACATATACACAGTTCAGAAATTTTAAAAATTATACAAAAGGTATGGTGAGAGATCCTCCATCTTCTTTCAGTCCTATTACCACTACCAAACAGGAATCCATTGTTATTAGCTTTCTGTTTCCCTCTCTGGAGTTTCTTTATACATACAAAAGCTAGAATAAAATGCCTATTGTAAACCTTTTCTTTTAGACACAACACAAACTATTCTGAAAATGCTTTCTTTTTTCACTTAAAAATGTCTTCTTGGGGCACCTGGCTGGCTCAGTTGGTGGAGCATGTGACTCTTGATCTTGGGGTTGTGGGTTCGAGCCCCATGGTGGGTGTAGAGATTACTTAAAAATACTATCTTTAAAAAAAAAAGTCTTCACTGCTGAATGGATGTACTATACTTATTTAACAACTGCCCTATTGATGATAAAGAGGTTTCTAAAACGACAAACTTACAAAGACAGAAAATGAGAAACATAAGGATGTATTCTGTAATCATCTTAGTAAAGGAGCATATAAGTAAAAGGAAAAAAAATTAAAAGGAGGCAGAAAAACAAGAGTAAAGAACAAATGGGACAAATAGAAAGCAAATAGTAAAATGGTTAGATTTAAACCCATACGTATCAGAAATTGCATTAAATGTAAATGTAGTCAATTCTCCACATAAAATGCAGACTGTCAGACTGGAAAATAATATGTATATTCCTTTAAAATATAAGAATATAAAATGTTTGAAATATAATGATTGAACAAGATATATCATGCAAACACTAACCAAAATAAAGTTGATTTAGTTTTAATATCTCACACAGAAGGGAAAAAGAAGTTACAAGTTAAAAGAACATTCGATTACAGTTAATAATCAATTCACTGGAAAGATAACAGCTCTATATTTTTATCACCTCATATATATAAAGCAAAAACTAGCAGAAGTAAAAGGAGAAACAAACAAATGCACAATTATGTGATTCTTAACACAACTCTCAGTGACTGAGAAAATCATTAAAAAAAGAATTAGTAAAGATGCCAACAATTTGAACATAATTAATGGATGCGACCTAATTGATATTTAGAGAAATGCACTCAACTATAAAACGCTCATTTCAACTACGTATGAAACATTTATAAATAAAGTGGACCACAAATATGCTGTACCATAAAGCAAGTTTCAGTAACAAATGTCAAAAGGTTGAGATAATTCAGAATACCATCTCTGAACATTATGCAAATTAAGTTAGAAATCAATGGCAAAAAGAGAACTAAAAAAGCTCCATAGGCTGTGAACTGTGTAAGACTGATCAATCAAAGACCTGTACTTCAGAAACAAATAATACATTATATGTTTAAAAAAAAAAAAGATAGTAGGAAGGGAAAAATGAAGGGAGGGAAATCGGAGGGGGAGACAAACCATGAGAGACTATGGACTCTGAGAAACTGAGGGTTTTAGAGGGGAGGAGGGTGGGGGGATGGGTTAGCCCGGTGATGGGCATTAAGGAGGGCACATATTGCATGGAGCACTGGGTGTTATACGCAAACAATGAATCATGGAACACTACATCAAAAACTAATGATGTAATGTATGGTGACTAACATAATTTAAAAAAAAAAAGCTCCATAGGCTTGGCAATTAATAACATAATTCTAAATAACGCATGGGTGAAGAAATCACAAGAACATATTTTCACATGAAATATAATGAAAATACAATATAACAAAACTTTTTAAATAAAGTTAAAGCCAGGCATAGAAGGAAATTTACTGCCTGAAATACGTATTAGAAAAGAAAAGAGGCTGGGAGAAAAAAAAAAAAAAAAATCAATGAACTAAGTTTCCATCTCAAGAAATCAGAAAGGGAAATGCAAATGAATCTTCAAGAAAAGTAGAAAGAGGAAAATAATAAAATACACACCACATATATAATAGAGGAGATCAACAGTCAAAACTGGTTCCTGAAAGATTAATACAACTGAAAATCCTCTGGTCAGACTAATCAAGAAAAAGAGAAGGCACAATAACATCTATCACAAATAAAAAGGGAAGGCTATTAAAGAACATAAGGATGTTAAAAAGTTAAGTGGAATATTATAATTTTATGGCAGTACATTCCAAACTTTAGAAATAGACAGTCTTAGGAAGATACTACCAACCAGAATTAGACAATCTGAGTAGTACTAAAGAATCTGAATCTATAGTGAAAAAGTTTCCCATAAAGAAAACTTCAAGACTACTCAGCTTCAAAGGTGGAATTTTGTCAAACATCCAAGGACAACTGATAAAGGAATGCTTCCCAGGGGCGCCTGGGTGGCTCAGTTAGTTAAGCGTCTGCCTTCAGCTCAGGTCATGATCTCCAGATCCTGGGATGGAGCCCCACATCGGGCTCTCTGCTCAGCAGGAAGTCTGCTTCTCTTTCCCTCTCTCTCTGCCACTCCCCCCGTTTGTACTCTCCCTCTCTCTCTCAAATAAATAAATACAATCTTTTAAAAAAATAATAAAGGAATACTTCCCAATCTGTTTTATGAGCTAATGTTACCTTGAGACCAATCCTAAGAAGAACATTATGAAGAAATGAAAATTACAGGTCTATCCTATTCATCAACAGAGATGTGAGGAAAAGAAAGGAGAAAGAGAGAAGAAAAATGCAACAGCATTTTGAGAAATGGAAAAATCAATCAAGTGACTGGACTCAAGAAACTGAAATCTAACAGAGCTTCCAGGACTGGCAGAAACTGAAAGAATATGTGACCACTAAGCCGGCCCTGCAAGAAAATATTAAGGAAGGGGGGTTCTATAAAAGGAGAAAGACCCCAAGAGTGATATAGAACAGAAATTTACAGAGACAATCTATAGAAACAAGGACTTCACAGGCAACATGACAATAAAATCATATCTTTCAATAATCACTCTCAATGTGAATGGCCTAAATGCTCCCATAAAATGGAACAGGGTTGCAGATGGATAAAAAGACAGGACCCATCCATTTG